TAATTGTTCTGTCAGGAAATTCCTCCTTAGTTCTATGTTGCTTCTCTCCTTGATTAGTTTCCACCCATTGCTTCTTGTCCTGCCCTCAGGTGCTTTGGAGAACAGCTTGACCTGCTCCTCTAATTTTCTCTGGATAATTAGTCGTGCCATGTACTGGAGTCTTATGGGAAATGGTGGCAGATAAATGCAAGAAACAAATAGGGAAAGGCTATTGAATGATGGTTGCTATGATGGCTGATGACTACAGACTGTTGAATCTATCACTCTTATTCTGGGATCCATTAAAATGGGGAGGGAAGGGAAGAGGAGGGAAGGGAAAAAAGAGGGAAGGAAGGAAAGAGACGGGAATGAGAAGAACGAAGGGAATGATGCATCAAACACCATGGTTGCTCTTAAACATACTTGGGTGTGAGAGCAATACTTAAGCAACTGAAATTCATAAAGGGTAAAGACTAAAACTAATGAAACTACAACTTCCTTAGGATATTTCTGAAATTTATTCCTTAAATATGGCATGTATACAAATATGGACTTACCAGGGTAAACCACTAGCTTGGTGCCACTTCCAAATGTAATTTTACTCCATGCACTACTATCACACTGTGATACCATCCTTTACAAAATGGCAACCTTTAGGAAAAGGTTTGTAGGTTTACAAGCCTCTTCCTAAAGGTTTAGGAGAGGAATAGGACAGAGCAGAGGAGAGCAGAGAATAACAAAGTTGGAAGGGACCTTGGAGGTTTTCTAGTCCAACCCTCTGCTCAGGCAGGAAACCCTATACACGTGATGGCGAACCTATGGCACGGGTGCCACAGGTGGCACGGGGACTCATATCTGTGGGCACACAAGTGTTGCCCTAGCTCACCTCCAGTTCATTTGTGTGCGCCGGCCAGCTGATTTCCAGGTCTTCTGGGCCCAGTGGAAGTCAGGAAACAGGCCGTTTCTGGCCTCCAGAAGACTCCAGGGGTTGGGGAAGGCCGTTTTCACCTTCCCCAGGCTCCTAGAAAGCCTCTGGAGCTTGGAGAGGGTGAAAAACGGGCCTACCAGGCCCACCGAGCCATCGCGTGCCAAAAGTGGGGGGACCGCAGGAGGGGTCACACGGGCATGCATCGGGGGGTGGCACATTGAAGTATGGGTGTGGGCACACACACACACGCGATCCCCCCGCTTTTGGCACATGACGGCAAAAAGGTTAGCCATCACTGCCCTATACCATTTCAGACAAATGGCTGTCCAATCTCTTCTTAAAGCTTCCAGCATTTACAACTTCTGGAGGCAAGTCGTTCCACTGATTAATTGTTCTAACTGTCAGGAAATTTCTCCTTAGTTCTAAGTTGTTTCTCTCCTTGATAAGTTTCCACCCATTGCTTCTTGTCCTGCCCTCAGATGCTTTGGAGAACAGCTTGACCTGGTCCCCTAATTTCCTCTAGATAATTAGTCGTGCCATGAGCTTGGCGTCCACTAATATCACTAGAAAAATACGAAGCCACGATACTTACAGGGTTTCACCATTAAAAAAGTTCCTTTACCAAAGATGACTTTATAGTCAGTGGCACAGTGATCCCAAAGCTTACAAAAATCCCCCAGAGCTCATTCATCCTTCACTCCTGATGTTTTAATAGGATCAGTGAAGAATAAGAAGGGTTCGAACGAATCCCATATGATTTTTGAATTCTACAAATCTTTACATAATAACTACAAGGCGACTAGTATCCATATTAAAAAGAAAACTCTTAAGAGGTACTCAGTATATCAGTAACCGTCTGTAGCAAAAGTGAATGTCATTTTGGAGTAGTGGTTAAGGCATCAGGCTAGAAACTGGGAGAAGGCTGTGAGTTGTAGACCCGCTGGGGCCAATCACTTTCTATCAGCCCTAGGAAGGAAACAATGGCAAGCTACTTCTGAAAAACTAAAGGGAATTGTCCAGGCAGTCTCTGAGATTCAGACACAATTGAGTGAAAGGAAAATATATGTATATAAGATGTTGATTGAGCCCCATGCATAGAAGGCAGGTAAAATTAGTACTGGAGTCTAATGGGAAGTGGTGGCAGATAAATTCAACAAACAAATAAGGAAAGGCTATTGCATGATGGCTGCTATAATGGTTGATGACTACAGACTGTTGAATCTATCACTCTTATTCTGGGGTCCATTAAAATGGGAAGGGGAGGGTAGGAAAGGGAAAAAAGGGAAGGAAGGAAGAAGGAAAGAAGGCAGGAGATGGGAATGAGAAGAACGAAAGGAAGGGGAGGGAAGAAGGGAAGGAACGAAGAAGGAAGGAGATGGGAATGAGAAGAGGGGAGTGGAGGAAAGGGAGGTGAGGGAAGGGAAACAAGAGGGAAGGAAGAAAGAAGGAAGGAAGGAGATGAGAATGAGAAGAAGGAAGGGAAGGGAAGGGAACGGAAGGGAAAAAAGAGGAGAAAGGTAGGTAGAGGAAGGAAGGAGATGGATATGAGAAGAATGAAGGGGAGGGAAGGGAAGGAAGAAGGAAAGAGATGGGAATGAGAAGAGGGGAGGGGAGGGAAAAAGAGGGAAGGAAGAAGGAAGGAAGGAAGGAGATGAGAAAGAAAAATGAAGGGCAGGAATGGGAAGGGAAGGGAAAAGAAAAAAGGGAGGGAAGGAAGGAAGGGAGGAAGGAAGGAAGGAAGGAAGGAAAGAAGGAACATAGATTGAAACATAGGGAAGGGGGGGAAGGGAAGGGAAGGGAAGGGAAAAACATTAGCCTATTCTCAAGAATTTGCTGATCCACTGAAGAAACCAATGTCTTATAAATTAACATCTTGGCTATTCCCCCTCATCTCAGTGTATTTGCACAGGACAGAGCAAAACTACATTTGGCATAGAATGCTGGTATGTGTGTGCAGAAAAAGGAAACTATCTTACTACATTTGCAAATTAAATAAATAAATAAATAAGGGTGTTAAAGAGAGAGAGAGAGAGAGAGACTTACTTGGGGTCACGACTAGTCTAGTCCCACTTCCAAATACTGGCTTCCAGCCACTGCCCTCCCCACAGTGTTTTCAGCCTTGGCAAAAACTTCCGAGACCCAAGAAAGGCAATGAATGCAGATGGATGGACAGTTGGATGGATGGACGTTCAATTCAGAGGGAAAACTTTAAGGCCTGTGGACATCCCAATCTAACAACTAATTGTAAACTAATAAAGTTGTCCTGAATGAAAAGTATGAAGTTATCTACCAATGAGTGCTAACAGGCCTTCATCATGTTGGAATAAAAGAATAGATTTGTTGATAAATACATAGGGTAGGAAATCCTCACTTCTATCCCAACCTTCAAAGGAGAGAGAGGGAGGGGGAGGGAGGGAAGGAGAGAGACACAGAGAGAGACAGAGACAGAGAGACAGAGAAAGACAGAGGGAGACAGATACACAGAGAGAGAGACAGGGAGAGAGAGAGAGAGACAGAGACAGAGAGACAGAGAAAAGACAGAGGAGACAGACACAGAGAGAGACAGGGAGAGAGAGACAGAGACAGAGAGACAGAGACAGAGACAGAGACAGAGACAGAGACAGAGACAGAGAGACAGAGAAAGACAGAGGGAGACAGATACACAGAGAGAGAGACAGGGAGAGAGAGAGAGAGAGAGAGACAGAGACAGAGACAGAGACAGAGACAGAGAGACAGAGAAAGACAGAGGGAGACAGATACACAGAGAGAGAGACAGGGAGAGAGAGAGAGAGACAGAGACAGAGAGACAGAGAAAGACAGAGGGAGACAGATACACAGAGAGAGAGACAGGGGAGAGAGAGAGAGAGAGACAGAGACAGAGAGACAGAGAAAGACAGAGGAGACAGACACAGAGAGAGACAGGGAGAGGGAGAGAGAGAGAGAGAGAGAGAGACAGAGACAGAGACAGAGAGACAGAGAAAGACAGAGGGAGACAGACACAGAGAGACAGGGAGAGAGAGACAGAGACAGAGAGACAGAGAAAGACAGAGGGAGACAGACACACAGAGAGAGAGACAGGAGAGAGAGAGAGAGAGAGACAGAGACAGAGAGATAGAGAAAGACAGAGGGAGACAGACACACAGAGAGAGACAGGGAGAGAGAGACAGAGACAGAGACAGAGACAGAGAGACAGAGAAAGACAGAGGGAGACAGACACACAGAGAGAGACAGGGAGAGAGAGACAGAGATAGAGAGACAGAGAAAGGCAGAGGGAGACAGACACACAGAGAGTGAGACAGGGAGAGAGAGAGAGGGGGGGGAGGGAGGGAGAGAGAGAGAGAGACAGAGACAGAGACAGAGAGATAGAGAAAGACAGAGGGAGACAGACACACAGAGAGAGAGACAGGGAAGAGAGAGAGAGAGGAGAGGGAGGGAGGGAGGGGGAGAGAGAGAGAGAGAGAGAGGGAGGAGGGAGGGAGGGAGGGAGGGAGGGAGAGAGAGAGAGAGAGAGAGACAGAGACAGAGACAGAGAGATAGAGAAAGACAGAGGGAGACAGACACAGAGAGAGAGAGACAGGGAGAGAGAGAGAGAGAGAGAGAGAGAGAGAGAGAGAGAGAGAGAGAGAGAGAGAGAGAGAGTCATTGCCCAGAGGATCGTTGGTTGCCCCCTTGACTCTTTGGAAGAGCTTTATAGCTCCTGCTACCTTAAGAAAGTTCAAAACATTCTTCAATATCCATCTCATCCTGGGCACTTTTTTTTTTTTTAAACTATTACCATCTGGCAGACGATACAGGACAATAAGAACAAGGACAAATAGGCTGAAAAACAGCTTCTATCCCAGATCAATAACCATATTGAATTCTATGGTATAGTGCAATATTGGGTTTTCAGTTTCAATTATATAGAATGTAAAGGATGTATGTTTGTGTTTTTATTGTTATAGTTATAAAGTACACCGAAGACGGCATTTAATTTTGTTGTACCATGTGCAATGACAATAAAGTAAACTAAACTAAACTAAACTAAAATTAATATTAGGGAAGGACTGTTTTGAGCTGACCACAGGGGCAAAAATAAAGAAATAAAACTTACTTGGCATTACGGCCAGCCTAGTCCCACTTCCAAAGATTACCTTGTCACCAAAACTAGACACAGTGCTTTCCGCCTTGACAAAAATACCACCCTTCCTTTTTGCATCAGAATTATGCCTTCCTTTTAAAAAGCTAAGTCTTTAGACCTTCGGAATAAAATGTGAAGGATTGTGGATATTGGAAATATGAATCGTTTTGACGTCTACACCTATATATTTTTTTTTCTTTTGGACTCTGGTTTTTTCCCTGGAGGTGTGAATCCATCCTTTCCATCCCATAATTTCCAGACTTTTTTCAAACGTTTCCAGACTCTTCCTTCCTCTGCCCTCCAATTTATCAGTTCACCAAAAGCCTCTATAAATATATTAAATCACAGTGTCTTTAAAGAGCTAAGGCTTCATTGTATCCTGCAATTCTATATACACTGATCATTTAGTAAGCCCTATTGCATTCAGAACTCCTTATTTCTGTGTCTACAGAGAATGAGCAGGTTGATTTGTTACTGCCTTTTTTTCAAAGAATTTTGAAAATGGAGGAAAAAGCCCTTGATTCTAAGATTAGTACAGTAGATGAGTATTTATTTTTTTTTGCTTACGTTTTTAAAATTTTATTTCCAAAGTTAAAATACAAAAATATAGGGGGAGGGGGGAATCAAGAAACAAACTTAACATGTGGGCATTTTTAATTTCTTACTATTTTCCATTTGGTCAGCCCAATGACTTTCTTTTTTTCTTCTTTCTTTCTTTCTTTCTCTCCCTCCCTTTTCCATCTTTCCTTTCTTCCTTTCTCTCTCTCTTTCTTTCCCTCTCCCCTCCCTTTTACCTTCCTTCCTTTCTCTCCCTCCCTTTTCCTTTCTTCTTTCTTTCTTTCTTTCTTTCTTTCTTTCCCTCTCCCCTTCCTTTCCCTTCCTTCCTTCCTTTCTCTCTCTTTCTTTCTCTCTCCCCTCCCTTTTACCTTCCTTCCTTTCTTTCTCCCCCTCCCTCCCTCCCCCTCCCTTCTTTCTTTCTCTCCCTCCCTTTTTCTTTCTTCTTTCTTCTTTCTTCTTTCTTTCTTTGTTTCTTCCTTCCTTCCTTCCTTCCTTTCTCTCTTCCTTCCTTTCTTTCCCTCTCCCCTCCCTTTTCTTTCTTTCCTTCCTTCTTTCTCTCTTTCTTTCCCTCTCCCCTCCCTTTTCCTTTCTTTCTTCCTTTCTTCCTTTCTCTTTCTCTCTTTCTCTCTCTCCCCCCTCCCTTTTACCTTCCTTCCTTTCTTCCTCTCCCTCCCCTTTCTTTCTTTCTTTCTTTTCCTTTCTTTTTCGTTCCTTCCTTCCTTTCTTTGAATTGATGGAAAGCTTCTGCCCTTTAGGATCAACCATCCATAGTAAAGGAACCAAAATAGATAAAGATAATTATGGTGGAGGGAAAATCATAAACAAATAAATTAATACTAGCAAAATAGACACATCAATTAAGAAAAATTAAAAGAGGGAAAGCTATTTTTATAAAAACAGAGCAAACGTACGTGGTTGGACAACTAATTTTGTCCCTGAACCAAATACCAGCTTTCCGAAGTTCACACAGTGATTTCTCCTTTACCATAAACATATGCAAGGCTACAGCTATGGCTGTAGGTAGATTACACATGCACACTTTAAGTGTACATTTTAAGGAAGGCTGGTCCTTAATTTGATGAAAAGAAGAGGAAAGGAGAGGAAAGTTCAGAAAACTTCAAATGGCTAAGGTTGAGAAACACTGAATAGATTTTTCTCGACGCTGCTCTAGACTTTAGGATTTAAGATGTCAAGGATGGCAGCTACTAGAAATCTGAAGGAGACTCTAGAAAGAGTGAAGAGAACAGCAACAAAGATGATTAGGAGACTGGAGGCTAAAACATATGAAGAACGATTGCAGGAACTGGGTATGTCTAGTTTAATGAAAAGAAGGACTAGGGAAGACATGATAGTAGTGTTCCAATATCTCAGGGGCTGCCATAAAGAAGAGGGAGTCAAACTATTCTTCAAAGCACCCGAGGATAGGACAAGAAGCAATGGGTGGAAACTAATCAAGGAGAGAAGCAACTTAGAACTAAGGAGAAATTTCCTGACAGTTAGAACAATTAATCAGTGGAACAACTTGCCTCCAGAAGTTGTGAATGCTCCAACACTGGAAGTTTTTAAAATGAGATTGGATAACTATTTGTCTGAAGTGGTGTAGGGTTTCCTGCCTAAGCAGGGGGTTGGACTAGAAGACCTCCAAGGTCCCTTCCAGCACTGTTACTCTAATATTCTGTAGAGTGGATAACTTATTTGCAATGCTGTGTCCGAAGTTGATAATGTCTAGACCACTGACCACTGCATTAAATTCTCCTCCTTGGTTATTAACCCACATTGGCTTGGCTACACAGGAAGAATCAACTGTACTAATTATCCAGCAACTAAGACACACTGTCCCCATGATCAGAAAAACAACATTATGTGGATGAGGGAACACTGAGTAGAAATATCAATTCGAAAAAGAGTGTCTCATCAATAGAAGAGAATATTTGTAGCTCAGAATTGAACTGTGAGGTTCTTGGTGCTCAGTGAACTGACAGTATTACCTAATTTGGTAATGAAATGTCTGCAAGGAAACCACCAAGCTCAGAGAGCACAAAAAATCCCACATAGTCTTTCATCATCTTCAAAGATCTCTAGAACTTCAGGCCCCTTTTCACTTTTTTCCCTCTCTTTCTCTCTCACCAGTGAAACCAGATCGTAAAATTTAATTTAATGTATATCATGATATCATTATTTCATCATTCATGAAGGGTTCAATTTCTTCTATGTCTTGAAGCTAAAAATCTGAGAAGCAGAGTAATAGAGTTGGAAGGGAGCTTGGAGGTCTTCTAGTCCAATCCCCTGTTCAAGCAGGAAACCCTATACAATTTCAGACAAATGGTTGTCCAACCTCTTAGAAACCTCCAGTGATGGAGCACCCACAACTTCTGAAGGCAAGTCATTCCACTGATTTATTGTTCTCACTGTCAGAAAATTTCTCCTTAGTTCTAGGTTGCTTCTCTCCTTGATTAGTTTCCATCTATTGCTTCGTGTCCTGCCTTCAGGTTCTTTGGAGAATAGGTTGACTCCCTCTTCTTTGTGGCAGTCGCTTTCGATATTGGAACAGTGCTATCATGTCACCCCTAGTCCTTCTTTTTATTAAAAGCATCCCTTCTAATTCTCCAATGGAAGAACAACTATACATTCCTATTAAAAGTTATATCATTGTCACACCCTAAGAACTTATAAAGCGATAGTATAATTTATCTATGGGGAATCTAGCATAGTAGGGAACAGAACAATTGCTTGTTTATTTACCAGGTTATATATAGAATAGAATAGAATAGAATAGAATAGAATAGAATAGAATAGAATAGAATAGAATAGAATAGAATAGAATAGAATAGAATAGAATAGAATAACAGAGTTGGAAGGGACCTTGGAGGTCTTCCAGTCCAACCCCCTGCTTAGGCAGGAAACCCTACACCACTTCAGACAAATGGTTGTCCAACCTCTTCTTAAAAACTTCCAATGTTGGAGCATTCACAACCTCTGGAGGCAAGTTGTTCCACTGATTAATTGTTCTAACTGTCAGGAAATTTCTCCTTAGTTCTAAGTTGCTTCTCTCCTTGGTTAGTTTCCACCCGTTGCTTCTTGTCCTACCCTCAGGTGCTTTGGAGAATAGTTTGGCTCCCTCTCCTTTGTGGCAGCCCCTGAGATATTGGAAGACTGCTATCATGTCTCCCCTAGTCCTTCTCTTCATCAAACTAGACTACCCAGTTCCTGCAACCGTTCTTCGTATGTTTTAGTCTCCAGTCCCCTAATCTTCTTTGTTATAATTCAAGGGTTGAACATAATTCAACGGTTGTGTAAACCCACACGTGGACGAACCGTTTTGGTTGCTTAATACTTCTTGACATAGCGCTGACCATCTTTCAAGTCATAGTCATTTTTCCTCCACTGAAAATAGTGAGACCAGAATTGAATCTGGATTATTATTTTTTTTTCAAAGCACGCTCCTCCACATGTCACTACATGGTGGGATGGGATGAACAAAGAAAGGACCCTCTTGAACTGATTTTGTTGTTGTTAGTTGTGAAGTCGTGTCCGACCTATCACAACCCCATCAACAACATTGCTCCTGGCCTTCCTGTCCTCTACTATCCTCTGGAGTCCATTTAAGCTCACACCAACTGCTTCAGTGACTCCATCCAGCCACCTCATTCTCTGTCATCCCCTTCTTCTTTTGCCCTCAATCTTTCCCAACATTAGGCTCTTCTCCAGTGAGTCCTTCCTTCTCATGAGGTGGCCAAAGTCTTGAATTGACTACAAAGCATAAATAAAAGGATGAAACTTACCTGGCCTTACAACCAGCCTAGTCCCACTTCCAAAGATCACCTTACTGTATCCAGTATTAGACACAGTGCTTCCTGCCTTGACAAAAACAGGTTCTTCTCCCAAAGATGCTTTTCCAAAAAGACAGCTGGACTTTCTAGGGTTTTTTTCCCCTCCTTGAAAACATGTTGCTTTTCATCCCAGAAAAAGCTTCTTATCCTGCCTTCAGGTTCTTGAATGCATTTTTTTGGATGAGAATTGAAATGTTTTCAAGGGGAAAAAAAACCCCAAGGAAATCCAGTTTTTCTTTTGAAAAGCACTATTGGGACAACCATGAATCGGGTGATTGAGAATCTCCATAGATAACACATCCTCCTATTTGTATCAGCAAGTATAACTTCCTTTTGAAAAGCTAAATCTAATTAATTATCTCCCAAAAGGAATTGGGAGGGGGGAAGAGAAAGGAGATTAAAATATGGCAACAGATTTAAAAAAATGGTAACAGAAATTAAACAATATTATAGCAATAACACTTAGACTTATATACCGCTTCACAGTGCTTTACAGCCCTCTCCAAGCGGTTTACAGAGTCAGCCTATGGCCCTCAACAATCTGGATCCTCATTTTACCCACCTCGGAAGGATGGGAGACTGAGTCAACCTTGAGCCTGGTGAGAATCGAACTGCCAAATTGCTGTCAGCTGGCAGTCAGCAGAAGTAGCCTGCAGTCCGGCACTTTAACTACTGTGCCACCTCGACTCTTTATAGATGGATTCAACCCTTTATTTATTTATTTATTTTATTTTATTTATTGGTTCGATTTATATGCCACCCTTTTCCAGAGACTCAGGGCGGCTTACAATGCGTTAAGCAATAGCCTTCATACTTTTGTATATACCTGCTTAGTAGGGCTTTCGTCCCCCACCCCCAAGCGATGTTCTTTTTTAAATTTTTTTATACAAAGTCATCTTATTGCCCCCACAAACCGGGTCCTCATTTTACCTATCTCGAA